AGAGAGAGAGAGAGAGAGAGAGAGAGAGAGAGAGAGAGAGAGAGAGAGAGAGAGAGATGTCTCGCTGAGTTCCCTCGATGATTAATTTCTGTATCTAGACGCCAGTCGATTTTCTCACAATAATACTCGCTCAGCCGTTTCCCAGCGTGCGTGCGTACGTACTCCAATCCCTACTTTATATCATATAAAATTCTAGCATAATCCAATTTGCACTAGAAGCGCAGTCAGGTGCACCTAATGACGTAGCATATAACGCGATAACAACCACAAGAGTGTATATATTTAATTTATAGAAATATATATATATATAATATGATTTATTCATTTTTTTCATACGCGCAGCGGCACGGAAAGGGATTGCTGTCGCGTCACGCCACCATCGCAATCGCAATCTCATGCCGCCGACTCTTATGCTCACTGAAAACACGTGCAACATCTAAGAGATGGGGAAGAGAAGAGCCAGGGAGAGACTGAGAGGAGAAGAAAGAAATAGGGAGAGACAGAGGAAAGATGAGCGGGAGACAGAGACGGAGTAGGACGAGATGGATGTAAACACAACAAGGATGGCTATGCCGGAGATGGAGAGACGGATGATGGAGAAAATGGAAGAAGAGCTGTGGAAGGGAGAAACGCAGGAGGGAAATATTTTGGGTATATACCTATGGAGGACGCGAAGGAAGAACAAGCAAACTTACCCGTGGCTCATCCTCGCGGAACTCTCTAAGTTGAATCGTGTAGACGAAATTTCTGCAGACAAAAGGAAAGTCATGTTATAGTTTCGCGATATTATCTAAACCTATATATCGCGCATCACTTCATGACGAGTAGGCGCACGAGAAAGGAGGCGGTGGCAGCAGAGGAGGAGGCGGAGGAAGGGGAGGAGGGGGAGGAGCAGGAGAGGGGAGGGGAAGGAGGGGGAGGGAGGATGAGAGAGTGAGAGAGAGAGAGGGAGAGTTAATGTATGCATGTGGTAACTCGTATGGCGTCACCTCCTCTCGCTCGGCACACAAGAGACTCCCGTGACCCGATGCCCCTCCAGGAAGCCCACAGCATCCATCCATTGCGCATGCGCACCACACCGCATCGGGACGCAACGATAATCAATGGCACGGATACGCGCCGCACCATGCTACACATCGATCTCGCTATAGCCGAGTGAGATAGTGTGTTAGATGTCAACTCGACTGCGAAATCAATAGTCGACGCATCTGGACACCACTGTGACACGCCACTGGCATCACACACCGGCGCGTCTGACTCGATAGACACTGGTATCCGGTCGCGCGAGTAAACGACTGAATGCAACGGCCAAGCCCCGGTAATAGATTTTTCCCGATGGGAAGGCTTTCTACGCAACGAAAAGCGTTGGGCGGACTAGAGCTGCTGCTATCGCTGAGTGAGTGAGTGCATTTCACTAGCCGGCGTAATGACGGGTGGTGTAATATTAATACGCCTGATCACGTTTATCGCGCGGCACACAACCACACCTGTATACTAGCGACCTTCTCTCCGATCCCGAACCGGCACGCACCCACAACCGCGGACGCACGCACGCACGCACACACACACAAATATGTATATATATATATACACATATATACATATACATACATATTTTTATATACTTTTATTTCTTGGTGACAGCAGGAGCTAGCCAGCGCGGTCAATTCATTTGACCGAACATTCACCTACCGCAGCAGAACGTCTACCTCTGGGGATCGCTGTTTGTTTTTTACGGTGTTCAGTTGGAAGCCCCCCCCCCTCCGGGGTAGCAATAATAGCAGCAGGCACGTAACAACGACAGCGGTTGTGCACCGATGTCGCACCGGGTGCACGCCATCTACTATTATTAGCTCGCACGAAGTAAATAACGAGAGAAAGCATTGTGTATATAAATGACAAAAGGCGCGTGCACGAGCGACAGACAGTCGGGCACCGAATGCACGGCTGTACTGCACGACGAATTACTAGCAATTGTTATAGCCCCACGCGAGCGAGTCTATTTCTGCGTTTTCCACTCCAGAATGAGTTATCCACGCGAGCGTGTTAAAGGGAAGACGCGTCGTCGGGGATTGCGTTCTCGTCTATTCCTTGTCGACGAGATACGTCGGCATTTTATATTCCGCCCATGCATTGTACATCTAATCATTCGCGATGAGCAAGAAAACCTGTCGAGCGTTTTCCCCGTATACTAGCGCGCCTACATGAAAGCTCTCTGTGCGCGCTGACACTGGGGGATGAATCTACATATTCATTAACGGAAACCGAATATTAAGATGCGTGACGGGTGGAAATACGCGTGAGGGGAGAATTATATAGCAGCGAGGAGAGATGAGAAGGGAGAAAGAGGAGGGAGAAGGAGGAAGAGAAGGGAGGAGGTAGGAGGGAGGAAGGGAGGAGGTAGGAGGGAGGAAGGGAGAATGAAGGGAGGAAGGGAGGAAGGGAAGAGATGGGAGGGAGGAAGGGAGGAAGAGAAGAGGTGGGAGGGAGGAAGGGAGAAGGTAGGAGGGAGGTAGGGAGGAGGGACGAAGGGAGGAGGTAGGAGGGAGGAAGGGAGAAGAGAGGAAGGGAGGAAGGGAGGAGAGAGAAGGGGAAGGGAGGAAGAGAGGAAGGGAGAAAAGAGGAAGGGAGAAGGGAGGAAGGGAGGAAGAGAGGGGCGAGCAGAAATGCGAGATGCAAGCAGGCATGCAGCACTGGCTACAACGTAGACGATCCGAGGGCTCACATAATGCAGACGTCACTGCTGGCGACCTTCACTACAGCGTATTACTTTACTTAGCGTAACATACGTATTATATTATATACTATGATGAGCAGTTTGATGTATTATATCTAAGATTTATATTATTATAATAAATACAGCGTATTATATTATACAATGTACTATAATAACCAGTCCGATGCACTGTTATTATAGTATTGTGAAGGCTATACAGAGATTACAGACAGTCACAAAAAGTTCAAGGAAGATATGACAGACGGGCGATTGTTCAAATAAAGACAACCTTGAAGGTAGGATAGAGGATCACATGGGAAGAAACCTTCCGAAACCTGAAAAATTACACGGCAAATTAGAAGTGAGAAAACGGAGAGACGTATGATTTATATTCACACACGGCATATAAACACGCACATGTCAAAGCAAGCTTCTATCTACGATCATGGTTTGGGTGGGGATGGGGCATGCCCATCAAGTAGACATAGGTTTAGGGTTGCATCGTATGCACTTGCCTGCCTCGCCGTGAGGTTCAAGAGTTGCGGAGAAAATCCCCCCACCACCACCACCTCGGACCATCCTGTGCACACAGTCCCACCAAGTCTATAATTAATCGACACACAGAAGTATGAAAGACGCACGCGCAGCACGGCCTAGTGACTCAAGACTTCGACGAAGGATCGGCCTTCTGACACAACAAACCTCAGCAAGGATCGGAGAAGATAGCCGAGAACCAGAAAAGCTCGCCATGCCTGCTGGGCATAGCCTCCATTATAGACTGGACTCTCCCCTTGGCACCCCACCCCCCATCACCACTGCCACATCCAAACCCAACCCATCCCACACATGCCCGCGAGTTGCCATGGACCGATTCCAACTGTGAAAACACGATGTTGTTTGTGTAAATCGTGCAACTCCCGCGGTGTTTGTGTGCGTGTACGGTCGTTTACAGCTAGTAGCGTCGCGCGCGTATATACGGGGGGAGGGGGAGGAGGACGCGATGGCGGAGGAGGAGTAGGAGGAAGAGGAGGCGGCAGAGGAGGAAGAGGCAGAAGAGGAGGAGGAAAACGAGGATGTGGGGGAGGAGGAGG